GTTTGGCCTGACGAGCTCTGTCTTTCAGCACCTTGGACAGGGGCAGTCCCGGTTTGGCCTGTCGAGCTCTGTCTGTCAGCACCTTGGACAGGGGCAGTCCCGGTTTGGCCTGTCGAGCTCTGTCTTTCAGCACCTTGGACTAGGGCAGTCCCGGTTTGGCCTGTCGAGCACTGTCTTTTAGCACCTTGGACTAGGGCAGTCCCGGTTTGGCCTGTCGAGCTCTGTCTTTCAGCACCTTGGACTAGGGCAGTCCCGGTTTGGCCTGTCGAGCTCTGTCTTTCAGCACCTTGGACTAGGGCAGTCCCGGTTTGGCCTGTTGAGCTCTGTCTTTCAGCACCTTGGACCGGCAGTCCCGGTTTGGCCTGATGAGCTCTGTCTTTCAGCACCTTGGACTAGGGCAGTCCCGGTTTGGCCTGTCGAGCTCTGTCTTTCAGCACCTTGGACTAGGGCAGTCCCGGTTTGGCCTGTCGAGCTCTGTCTTTCAGCACCTTGGACAGGGACAGTCCCGGTTTGGCCTGACGAGCTCTGTCTTTCAGCACCTTGGACAGGGGCAGTCCCGGTTTGGCCTGTCGAGCTCTGTCTGTCAGCACCTTGGACAGGGGCAGTCCCGGTTTGGCCTGTCGAGCTCTGTCTTTCAGCACCTTGGACTAGGGCAGTCCCGGTTTGGCCTGTCGAGCTCTGTCTTTCAGCACCTTGGACTAGGGCAGTCCCGGTTTGGCCTGTCGAGCACTGTCTTTTAGCACCTTGGACAGGGGCAATCCCGGTTTGGCCTGTCGAGCTCTGTCTTTCAGCACCTTGGACAGGGGCAGTCCCGGTTTGGCCTGTCGAGCTCTGTCTTTCAGCACCTTGGACTAGGGCAGTCCCGGTTTGGCCTGTCGAGCTCTGTCTTTCAGCACCTTGGACTAGGGCAGTCCCGGTTTGGCCTGTCGAGCACTGTCTTTTAGCACCTTGGACTAGGGCAGTCCCGGTTTGGCCTGTCAAGCTCTGTCTTTCAGCACCTTGGACTAGGGCAGTCCCGGTTTGGCCTGTCGAGCTCTGTCTTTCAGCACCTTGGACTAGGGCAGTCCCGGTTTGGCCTGTTGAGCTCTGTCTTTCAGCACCTTGGACCGGCAGTCCCGGTTTGGCCTGATGAGCTCTGTCTTTCAGCACCTTGGACTAGGGCAGTCCCGGTTTGGCCTGTTGAGCTCTGTCTTTCAGCACCTTGGACTAGGGCAGTCCCGGTTTGGCCTGTCGAGCTCTGTCTTTTAGCACCTTGGACTAGGGCAGTCCCGGTTTGGCCTGTCGAGCTCTGTCTTTCAGCACCTTGGACTAGGGCAGACCTGGTTTGGCCTGTCGAGCTCTGTCTTTTAGCACCTTGGACTAGGGCAGTCCCGGTTTGGCCTGTTGAGCTCTGTCTTTCAGCACCTTGGACTAGGGCAGTCCCGGTTTGGCCTGTTGTGCTCTGTCTTTCAGCACCTTGGACCGGCCGTCCCGGTTTGGCCTGATGAGCTCTGTCTTTCAGCACCTTGGACTAGGGCAGTCCCGGTTTGGCCTGTCGAGCTCTATCTTTCAGCACCTTGGACTAGGGCAGTCCCGGTTTGGCCTGACGAGCTCTGTCTTTCAGCACCTTGGACTAGGGCAGTCCCGGTTTGGCCTGTCAAGCTCTGTCTTTCAGCACCTTGGACTAGGGCAGTCCCGGTTTGGCCTGTCGAGCACTGTCTTTTAGCACCTTGGACTAGGGCAGTCCCGGTTTGGCCTGTCGAGCTCTGTCTTTCAGCACCTTGGACTAGGGCAGTCCCGGTTTGGCCTGTCGAGCTCTGTCTTTCAGCACCTTGGACTAGGGCAGTCCCGGTTTGGCCTGTTGAGCTCTGTCTTTCAGCACCTTGGACTAGGGCAGTCCCGGTTTGGCCTGTCGAGCTCTTTCTTTTAGCACCTTGGACTAGGGCAGTCCCGGTTTGGCCTGTCGAGCTCTGTCTTTCAGCACCTTGGACTAGGGCAGTCCTGGTTTGGCCTGTCGAGCTCTGTCTTTTAGCACCTTGGACTAGGGCAGTCCCGGTTTTGCCTGTTGAGCTCTGTCTTTCAGCACCTTGGACTAGGGCAGTCCCGGTTTGGCCTGTTGTGCTCTGTCTTTCAGCACCTTGGACCGGCAGTCCCGGTTTGGCCTGTCGAGCTCTATCTTTCAGCACCTTGGACTAGGGCAGTCCCGGTTTGGCCTGACAAACTCTGTCTTTCAGCACCTTGGACTAGGGCAGTCCCGGTTTGATTTGACAAACTCTGTCTTTCAGCACCTTGGACAGGGGCAGTCCCGGTTTGTGCGTTCTAGAGTCACATGTAGGCTTATGATCGTTCACATCTTTTTGGAGTTACCTGTGGCACTGATGTTTAGGCCGAGGTATGTATAGTTTTTTTGTGTGCTCTGGGGCAATGGCATCTAGATGGAATTTGGCAACTGGAGCTTTTTGGAACACCATTATTTTTGTCTTACTGAGACTTACTGGCAGGGGCCAGGTCTGACAGAATCTGTGCAGAATATCTAGGTGATGCTGTAGGCCCTTCTTGGTTGGGGACAGAAGCACCAAATCATCAGCAAACAGTAGACATTTGACTTCAGATTCTAGCAGGGTGAGGCCGGGTACTGCACACTGTTCTAGTGCCATCGCCAATTCGTTGATATATATGTTGAAGAGGGTGGGGCTCAAGCTGCATCCCTGTCTCACTCCACGGCTCTGTGGAAAGAAATGTGTGTTTTTTGCCAATTTTTACCGCACACTTGTTGTTTGTGTACATGGATTTTATAATGTTGTATGTTTTTCACCCAAAACCGCTTTCCATTAATTTATTTACATTTACGTCATTTAGCAGACGCTCTTATCCAGAGTGACTTACAGAAGCAATTAGGGTTAAGTGCCTTGCTTAAGAGCACATCGACAGATTTTTCACCTAGTCGGCTCGGGGATTAGAACCAGCGACATTTCGGTTACTGGCACAACACTCTTACCCACTAAGCTACCTGCCGCCCAATTTATATAGCAGACCTTCATGCCAAATTGAGTCAAAAGCTTTTTTGAAACCACCAAAGCATGAGAAGACTTTGCCTTTGTTTTGGTTTGTTTGTAAATTAGGGTGTGCAGGGTGAATACGTGGTCTGTCATACGGTAATTTGGTAAAAAGCCAATTTGACATTTGCTCAATACATTGTTTTCACTGAGGAAATGTACAAGTCTGCTGTTTAATCAGAGGATTTCCCCAAGGTTGCTGTTGATGCATATCCCACGGTGGTTATTGGGGTCATATTTGTCTCCACTTTTGTGGATTGGGGTGATCAGTCCTTGGTTCCAAATATTGGGGAAGATGCCAGAGCTGAGGATGATGTTAAGGAGTTTAAGTATAGCCTCTCTCTCTCTCTCTCTCTCTCTCTCTCTCTCTCTCTGTCACGATCGTCTAGAACAGATGAGGACCAAGGCGCAGCGTTGCAGACGAACATACTCTTTATTAGGATACACGATCAAAATAAACAAAACGATAACGTGACAGTTCACGGTCTGACACTAACCGACTAGAAACAAGATCCCACAAACACTGTGGGGAAACTGGCTGCTAAAGTATGGTTCTCAATCAGAGACAACAAGCAACAGCTGAATCACGTTGCCTCTGATTGAGAACCACACTGGCCAACATAGAAAAACAATACTAGAATGTGAAACCTAGAACAAAACACATAGACTTTACACACCCTGGCTCAACATATTAGAGTCCCCAGAACCAGGGTGTGACACTCTCTCTCTCTCTCTCTCTCTCTCTCTCTCTCTCTCTCTCTCTCTCTCTCTCTCTCTCTCTCTCGCTCTCTCTCTCTCTCTCTCTCTCGCTCTCTCTCTGACCAAAGTGATCTGCCGCCCACATATTCTCTCTTCAGCGCTGGTTGACCTGTCTGTTCCCCAGAGCCGTCTGAGTGCTTATTGTATGTGCTGCCTCAATTTAGGCACATCTCTCTATCTATCTATCTAGGAATAGCTTTCTGCATGTGCTATATTGCTCCTACTTCAGAATCCTTGGGAGCCCCAGTTCCCAGACAGATTCCAAGCTACAGGAAGTCTAGAAAAAGAGATTAGAGAGTAAAGAAGAAGAACTTAAATCAACACATTGTGGAAACACTAATAAAGACAAATGACCTGTCATTCTTCTTCAGTCTTCACCCTTTTGCTCCTATATTATATTAATAGCACACAATCAGCTCTTCTTTCACTAAAGTTATATGACTGTCAGACAATCAAAATCAAATCAAATATTCAAATCGTTCTGTGAATAAAATTCCCTAATTGCTGCTGTGAATAATAATTTGTGTAATAAGTTATTCATGAATGTGAGCCCTAGAACAATGATAATGAGGAGTGATTATTGTGATTATACACCCTACTGAGGGAGTCAGGGTTGGCATTAGTCTACCTAATTAAGACAATCTTACTGTGTTCCAAATGGCCACCCTAATCCCTATCTAGTGCACATTGAAATGACATGAAAACAATGTTGATTCAACCAGTGTGAAGAGAGAGAGAAAGAGAGAGCTAGAAGGAGAAGAGACAGATGAGATGAGAGAGAAGATAGCAGTTGTCTGGACACAAGGGTTTCAGAGGTTTGATTTAACATCCTACTGAATAAAGATTGAATATATAGAAATGTTTCTGCATGTTCTCATTTAACATCATAATGGTTCTCTGTCTAAGCAATACAGGTTTCAGGAGTCATTCCATCTACCCATTTTTGTTTTGATGCATGATAAAAATAAAAATAAACAGTTTTGATGTAATATCATATCTACTATTTATTATTTATATCAAAAGACACCTCTGAAGTAAGACCAGAATATGTTATGGTGGTAGGTAGGATGGTGGTATTTTGGGGATGTATTGAGGAACTGCATTTTACCCTTCAGAGAACAAAGTCACTTTTTCTGTGGGAGTTTTAACACAATACCACTGACTCTCCTCCCTTCCCCTGCCTCTTCCACCAGGTTGATTGACAAGCCCGTTGTCCCATCAAATCGTCGCCATGATCGCTACGGGCGGTCTGCTGCGTACGAACCGGCGCCAGGACTCCCAGCAAACCAAGAACCACGCTGAGAACCAGAGGAAGAGGAAACCAGCAGAGAGGAAGAAGAACAATGTGGTGGTGGTGGGTAGCATGATGGATTACAAACTACAGTACCCATAATGCTCTGTTGTATTGTATCTGATTTTGTTTTAGGTTCCATCCCAATAATCTCTCCTTTCTCCCAATATGTACAGTTTGTCTTCTTCACTTCTCTTCATGGATTTGAAAGGAAATTACTGGTATATGGAAACTCCCTCTAGGCTAATACTTTTAAATACTTTTACATGTGTGGGAGGTAGTGAACGTGGAAGGAGAGATTATTGGGACGCAACCTTAGCTGTTCCTGAAGCTAACATGGTAAAGATGTCCTGTCTGTCTCTTTATGAATTCAGGTGAAGGGGAAACTCAACCTGTGTTCCCCATCTGGGCTGGTGGCTGCGGTGGGGGTGGTGGTGTTGATGGTGGGGATAGCCATGGCTGTACTGGGCTACTGGCCACATGAAGGCCACAGCCAGACGAGGGCTGAGTTGACCAACCAGACTGTTGGGGAGTTGACCAAACAGACTGTTGGAGAGTTGACCAACCAGACTGTTGGGGAGTTGACCAACCAGACGAGTGTTGAGTTGACCAACCAGATGAGTGTTGTTATCAATGGAAGTGTTCCTCAACCTGTATCTGTTAATGGAAGTGTTCCTCAACCTGTATCCGTTAATGGAAATATACCTGTATCTGTATCTACACCTCCTCGTCCTCCCTCAGGTGGGTTTCTCTCTGAGTTCCTGGACAACTATCTCCACTCAGACAACTTGAAGGTGTTTGGGCCCTTAGTAATGGGGATTGGCATCTTCCTCTTCATCTGCGCTAACGCCGTGCTCCACGAGAACAGAGACCTGAAGACCAAAGTCATCAACCTCATAGATATCTACTCCATGGTCATCGACCTCCACAGCACACGGACCAAGGACCACTCGCCGATTAACGGACTGGTGAACTATGAGCAGTCCAGGGGCAGTATGGACGTAAATTCGTTCAATCCTGGCGGGATGCTAGAGTTAGGTAGCGGTGAGCAGCAGTCTGGACGACCATCAATGGCGGGCCGGCAGCGTGGCTGGTCCAGAGACAACCAGACATTCACGGAAAGTGTGTATAGCATCTACAGAGACCAGAAGCGCAGGTACAGTAAACCCACATGTCTGTTGTTTTAAAATGTAGGATTTTTGTCTGCATGTACATTTTGTATAGCCTCGTTTGACCATCCTGATTACGCAAGATCACGTTATGTTCCTCTGCATCGCTGTTGGTTACTGCAGGTGTTTTAAACATTTTTTTTAATAACAAATGGGAGTATTAAATGGTATTATACGCAGTTTTACAGTGTATTAGGAAAGTATTCAGACACCTTGACTTTCTTCACATTTAGTTACGTTACAGCCTTATTCTAAATATGTATTTATTTATTTTTTCGTCATCAATCTACACACAACACCCCATAATGACAAAGCGAAAACAGGTTTTTATAAATGTTTATACATTTATAAAAAATTAAAAAACAGAAATATCTTATTACATAAGTATTCAGAACCTTTGCTATGACACTCGAAATTAAGCTCAGGAGCATCCTGTTTCCATTGATCATCCTTGAGATGTTTCTACAACTTTGATTGGAGTCCACCTGTGGTAAATTCAATTGATTGCACTTGATTTGGAAAGGCACACACCTGTCTATATAAGGTCCCACAGTTGACAGTGCATGTCAGAGCAAAAACCAAGCTATGAGGTAGAAGGAATTGTCTGTAGAGCGTCGATATAGGATTGTGTCAAGGCACAGATCTGGGGAAGGGTACCCAAAAATGTCTGCAGCATTGAAGGTCCCCAAGAACATAGTGGCCTCCATCATTCTTAAATGGAAGAAGTTTGGAAACACCTAGACTCTTCCTAGAGCTGGCCGCAAGGCCAAACTGAGCAATCGGGGGAGAAGCGCCTTGGTCAGGGAGGTGACCAAGAATCCGATTGTCACTCTGTGGAGATGGGACAACCTTCCAGAAGGACAAACATCTCTGCAGCACTCCACCAATCAGGCCTTTATGGTAGAGTGGCCAGACGGAAGCCACTCCTCAATAAAAGGCACATGAAAGCCCGCTTGGAGTTTGCCAAAAGGCACCTAAAGGACTCTCAGACCATGAGAAACAAGATTCTCTGGTCTGATGAAACTTCTTGGCCTGAATGCCAAGCGTCTCGTCTGGAGGAAACCTGGCACCATCCCTATGGTGAAGCATGGTGGTGGCAGCATCATGCTGTGGGGATGTTTTTCAGCGGGAGGGACTGGGAGACTAGTCAATATCGAGGGAAAGATGAACGGAGCCTTTCATTTGTTACATTCACTGCTAAAATTGACAACATTTGACTCTGACGAAGGCCTTGAGGCCGATACGTAAAGCTTATTAAAGAGCAGTGATACTATCAAGAGCAGTGTGCAGGTTTCTTATTTTTTTCTCAAACTACACTGAACAAAAATATAAACGCAACATGCAACAATTTCAAAGATTTTACTGAGTTACAGTTCATATAAGGAAATCAGTCAATTGAAATAAATTCATTAGGCCGTAATCTATGGATTTCACATGACTGGGAATACAGATAGGCATCTGTATACAGATACCTTAAAAAAAGGTAGGGGCGTGGATCAGAAAACCAGTCAGTATCTGGTGTGACCGCCATTTGCCTCATGCAGCGTGACACATCTCCTTCACATAGAGTTGATCAGGCTGTTGATTGGGGCCTGTGGAATGTTGTCCCACCACGCTTCAATGGCTGTGCGAAGTTGCTGGATGTTGGCGAGACCTGGAACACGCTGTCGTACACGTCGATCCAGAGCATCCCAAACATGCTCAATGGGTGACATGTCTGGTGAGTATGAAGACCACGAAAGAACTAGGACATTTTCATCCTTGCGACATTGGACCCGTGCATTATCATGCTGAAACATGAGGTGATGTCGGCAGATTAATGGCACGACAATGGGCCTCAGGATCTCGTCACGGTATCTTTGTGCATTCAAATTGTCATCGATAAAATGCAATTGTGTTCATTGTCCGCAGCTTATGCCTGCCCATACCATAACCCCACTGTCACCATGGGGCCCTCTGTTCACAACGTTGACATCAGCAAACCGCTCGCCCACACAACGCCATCTGCCCGGTACAGTTGAAACCGGGATTCCTCCATGAAGAGCACACCTTTCCAGCGTGCCAGTGGCCATCGAAGGTGAGCCTTTGCCCACTGAAGTCGGTTACGACGCCGAACTGTCAGGTCAAGAGACTGGTGAGGACGACGAGCACACAGATGTGCTTCCCTGAGACGGTTTCTGACAGTTTGTGCAGACATTCTTAGGTTGTGCAAACCCACAGTTTCAACAGCTGTCCGGGTGGCTGGTCTAAGACGATCCCGCAAGTGAAGAAGTCGGATGTGGAGGTCCTGGGCTGGCGTACTGCCAAATTCTCTAAAATGATGTTGGAGGTGGCTTATGGTAGAGAAATGTTCAATTCTCTGGCAACAGCTCTGGTGGACATTCCTGCAGTCAGCATGCCAATTGCACGCTACATCAAAACCTGAGACATCTGTGGCGTTGTGTTGTGTGACAAAACTGCACATTTTAGAGTGGTCTTTTATTGTCCCCAGCACAAGGTGCACCTGTGTAATGATCATGCTGTTTAATCAGCTTCTTGATATGCCACACCTGTCAGGGGGATGGATTATCTTGGCAAAAAAGAAATGCTCACTAACACGGATTTAAACAAATGTGTGCACAACATTTGAAAGAAATACGTTTTTTTTTGGCGTATGAAACATTTTGGTGACTTTTATTTCAGTTTATGAAACATGGGGCCAACACTTTACATGTTGTGCTTATATTTTTGTTTAGTATAATTACGCGATCCATGAATGGTGGTCCTCGGGAGCTTTTGACTGTGATTTGGTGGTCCCCGGAACGGAAAAGGTTGGGAACTAATGCTCTAGAGATGTGTAGATTACATTCTGTTCCTCTAGATATGTGTAGATCAGATTCTGTTTCTATAGATATGTGCATATCACATTCTGTTGCTCTAGATATGAGTAGAGAATAGAATGTGATCTGGCATGATCCGGATGGTCGAATGAGGCTACATTGTATATTGTTTTGTATGCTGCAAAATTAATTGCCTCATTGAGGACATTAAAACGTTTTCTAATCTAATCTAATCGAATGCTGTATTTCTGTTTTAATCAGGTGGACCAGGCGTCCTGAGGGGATAAATAAAGTTGTTTTGAATTTCATTGCATTAAAGTTTTCTAATCTTATCTAATCAGGTGTTCAGAGCAGGCACCCTACCCCAGACAGTGGGACTCAGAGCAGACCTCGTACCCCAGGCAGTGGGACTCAGAGCAGGCTTCGTACCCCAGACAGTGGGACTCAGAACAGGCGCCCTACCCCAGGCAGTGGGAGGGTACAGCATCCATCGTCAGTTCTTCTGTTAACGCCTTCACCCTCCCAATCATCACACTAAACAACTGTGAGGTGGAGGAGGGGGGGCAGGCCGAGAGAGAGGGGACAGAGGGGTGCTCGGAGGAAGAGATCATAAAAGTCAAGCATTTTTGTGGAAATGGGATCGAGGAAGAGCACATAGCAGGCTACAGTCAAAGTCTGGGTACTACAGAGAAGGATTCTTCAAAGAGGACCTTGATGAATCCCCTGGAGTCCTATAGTCAAAGTCTGGGTACTACGGAGAAGAATCCTTCAAGGAGGACCTTGATGGATACCGAAAAATCCTATAGTCAAAGTCTTTGCACTAAAGAGAAGGATTCTTCAAAGAGGGCCTTAATGAATCCCCATGAATCCTTTAGTCAAAGTCTGGGTACTACAGAGAAGGATTCTTCAAAAAGGGCCTTGATGAATCCCCTGGAGTCCTATAGTCAAAGTCTGGGTACTACAGAGAAGGATTCTTCAAAGAGGACCTCAATGAATCCCCATGAATCCTTTAGTCAAAGTCTGGGTACTACAGAGAAGGATTCTTCAAGGAGGGGATCATTGAAGGATGTCTTCAGGAGGAGCTCGACCTCGTTGAATCCCCAGGAGTATGAGAGTGGTACAGTAATGACTCTAACTGAACCGCAGGGGGCGCTACAAGGACAGACCCTCACCCCACAGGGCTCCCAACTGTTCCCCCCCTCTCCCGTTTCCAGGGCTATGATGGGGATGGGATCTCGCTTGTCACTCAACTCCCTCTCCAGCCCAGGGGAGGACCAGCCCCAGTCAGCACGACGATGCAGCCTCACCGTGGCCGTCTGTCGTCAAGGAGACCGGGCTCGCCGGTTCAGCTGTACGCGTCTGGAGCGGTCAAACAGTAAGGGATACATCAAACTGGAAACCATGGGTGGAGAGTCCTTAGAGGCACCAGATGTAGTGACTTCCTGTGTGCCTGAATCGAATCAGGAAGAGGAAGTAGTAGCATCAGCAGCTAAAGGAGAAGGAGTGAGGGTGACAGTCATCCTTAGCCCTTCTTTAACAAAACTCTAGACAGATCTACAGTGAGGGAAAAAAATATTTGATCCCCTGCTGATTTTGTACGTTTGCCCACTGACAAAGACATGATCAGTCTATAATTTTAATGGTAGGTTTATTAGAACAGTGAGAGACAGAATAACAACAAAAAAATCCAGAAAAACGTTATAAATTGATTTGCATTTTAATGAGGGAAATAAGTATTTGACCTCTCTGCAAAACCCTTGTTGGCAATCACAGAGGTCAGACGTTTCTTGTAGTTGGCCACCAGGTTTGCACACATCTCAGGAGGGATTTTGTTCCACTCCTCTTTGCAGATCTTCCAAGTCATTAAGGTTTCGAGGCTGACGTTTGGCAACTCGAACCTTCAGCTCCCTCCACAGATTTTCTATGGGATTAAGATCTGGAGACTGGCTAGGCCACTCCAGGACCTTAATGTGCTTCTTCTTGAGCCACTCCTTTGTTGCTTTGGCCGTGTGTTTTGGGTCATTGTCATGCTGGAATACCCATCCACAACCCATTTTCAATGCCCTGGCTGAGGGAAGGAGGTTCTCACCCAAGATTTGACAGTACATGGCCCCGTCCATCGTCCCTTTGATGCGGTGAAGTTGTCCTGTCCCCTTAGCAGTAAAACACCCCCAAAGCATAATGTTTCCACCTCCATGTTTGACGGTGGGGATGGTGTTCTTGGGGCCATAGGCAGCATTCCTCCTCCTCCAAACATGCTGAGTTGAGTTGATGCCAAAGAGCTCGATTTTGGTCTCATCTGACCACAACACTTTCACCCAATTCTCCTCTGAATCATTCAGATGTTCATTGGCAAACTTCAGACGGCCCTGTATATGTGCTTTCTTGAGCAGGGGGACCTTGCGGGCGCTGCAGGATTTCAGTCCTTCGCAGCGTAGTGTGCTACCAATTGTTTTCTTGGTGACTATGGTCCCAGCTGCCTTGAGATCATTGACAAGATCCTCCCGTGTAGTTCTGGGCTGATTCCTCACCGTTCTCATGATCATTGCAACTCCACGAGGTGAGATCTTGCATGGAGCCCCAGGCCGAGGGAGATTGACAGTTATTTTGTGTTTCTTCCATTTGCGAATAATCGCACCAACTGTTGTCACCTTCTCATCAAGCTGCTTGGCGATGGTCTTGTAGCCCATTCCAGCCTTGTGTATGTCTACAATCTTGTCCCTGACATCCTTGGAGAGCTCTTTGGTCTTGGCCATGGTGGAGAGTTTGGAATCTGATTGATTGATTGCCTCTGTGGACAGGTGTCTTTTATACAGGTAACAAACTGAGATTAGGAGCACTCCCTTCAAGAGTGTGCTCCTAATCTCAGCTCATTACCTGTATAAAAGACACCTGGGAGCCAGAAATATTTCTGATTATTTCCCTCAGTAAAATGCAAATCAATTTCTAACATTCTTGACATGCGTTTTTCTTGATTTTTTTTTTTTTCTGTCTCTCAGGGAGAGGGAGAGGGAGTGGGAGAGGGAGAGGGAGAGAGAGGGACAGGGAGAAGGAGAAGGAGAGAGAGGGAGAAAGAGAAAGAGAGGGAGAGAGAAGGAGAAGGAGAGGGAGGGAGAGAGAGATGAGAGAGACAGAGGAAGGGAGGGAGATGAGAGAGGACAGAGGAAGAGAGAGAGAGAGAGACAGCTGATCGCAGTGGAAGAGAGAGAGGATAGAGAGAGAGAGAGAGAGGAGAAGGAGAGAGGAGGAGAGAGGGAGAATAGAAAGAGAGGTGAGGGAGGAGAAGAGAAGGAGAGGGGGGAGAGATGAGAGTAGAGCAGTAGAGAGGGGAGGGCAGAGCGGGACGCGGGACAGGGAGAGGGAGAATGTAGACGTCTAGCTAAGGGATGGTAGCGAGCCATCCGGTAGAGAGGGAGAGAGAGAGAGGGAGATAGGAGGGGATGGAGGGAAGGGGAGGAGGAGTTTAGGGTGTGCAGACGAGACAGGGGGGCGAGAAGTGTCAGGGAGCGGAGGAGGGAGGAGGGGAGGGGGAGGGAGGGCTGGGGGAGGATTTCGGGAGGGGAGAAGGAGAGGGAGAGCGAGGGAGAGAGAGGGAGTTACAGTAATCCCGAGCTCTTCAACAAATGAACTCTAGACAGATCTCTACACAGAACTCTAGAACTATCTCTTCATGTCTCATCATTTTAGATGGATGTCATAGTCAGTAGAAGACAGTGCTCAAACCGACCAATAGAGAGTCATGGTGCAGCCAGAAGGATATCAGGAGATCAGTGACAGGGAGAGGGAGAGAGTCAGGAAATAATAGGGAGAAAGAGAAGGTGTGATGGGAATAGCCCCCACCTCTTCAACTGAGTTGTAACGATCAACACCAATTAGCGTCCCCTGGAGAACATGGACCGAAACTATGGTACCTACAGAACTATAGACAGAACTGTGTCTTGTCATTTCTAAGTAAGTGTTAAACAACAATGCTCTGTAAATTTCTCTGAAATTCTGATGTGGACCAAGAAGGAGAGTGATGGAGTGCTGCATCAGATTACCCGGCCTCCACAATCACCCGACCTCAACCCAATTGAGATGGTTTGGGATGAGTTGGACCGCAGAGTTTGGGAAAAAGCAGCCAACAAGTGCTCAGCATATGTGGGAACTCCTTCAAGACTGTTGGAAAAGCCTTCCAGGTAAAGCTGGTTGAGAGAATGCCCAGAGTGTGCAAAGCTGTAATCAAGGCAAAGGTTGGCTACTTTGAAGAATCTAAAATCTAAAATATATTTTGATTTGTTTAACAGTTTTTTGGTTACTACATGATTCCATATGTGTTATTTCATAGTTTTGATGTCTTCACTATTATTCTACAATGTAGAAAATAGTTTTAAAAAATAAAGAAAAACCCTGGAATGAGTAGGTGAGTCCAAACTTTTGACTGGTACTGTATGTATATATATATTGTATATATTTCCCATTAATTTGTGATTGAGGCATTTGCTGTAGCTGGGTCTACACAGCTCTAGACATGAGACCCACGGGGCGGCAGGTGGCTTAGTGGTTAAGAGCGTAGTGCCAGTAACCGAAAGGTTGCTGGTTCTAATCCCTAAGCTGACTAGGTAGAAAAATCTATCGATGTCCCCTTGAGCAAGCCACTTAACCCTAATTGCTCCTGTAAGTCGCTCTGGATAAGAGCATCTGCTAAATGACGTAAATGTCAAATGAAACAGTGGTATCACTTTTTAACGCCAAGGTAGTGGGTTCGATCCCCGGGACCACCCATACACGAAAAATGTATGCACGCATGACTGTAAGTTGCTTTGGATAAAAGCGTCTGCTAAATGGCATATTATTATTATTATTATTACTTTTAGAATAACAACACGAGAAAGACTCTTTAGTAACAAAACCACAAAATAACTCAATATTCAGATCAAACTATTATCATTGTTCAATGTAGCAACAGCAATACTTTCGATAGAAAAACTGAGATACTATTTGTTTAAACAAACCAAAATATTGAGTAGATTTGAATAGCACCTATTTAACAGACTAGACAAATGACTGTAGAACAAATGATGATGTTCTGAAATCTTCTTCCTTTGAGATGTGATAGCACTGTAGATAAAACTGTTCCACAAAATATCGTTTTATTTTAGATAGGTATTGTTATAAGGTTGATAGCTGCCAGAAATGGAATCTCAGGTAGAATATAGTTCAGAATTTGTTAAAATGTAGTTTTGACTGTTGGACCATGTTTAATTATGAATGAATAAAGTGGCATCTAATTGAGACACTATTAAAATAAAACATGTAGATCTTTGTTGGTGTGTTATGCTTCCCTAAATAGCAAAAAATAGGAAAGGGGTAAAACAAAAAAAGAAAACTATATGATGGAGAGGCAGAGAAACAGAAAGAAAAAAGAAAAAGAAAAAGAAAAAAGGAAAACAAAAGAAAAGGGAAAAGAGAAGGAAAAAGAGAGAGAGAGAGCGAGCGAGAGCAGAGAGGAGAGAGAGAGAGTCGAGAGCAGAGAGAGACGAGATCGAGCGCTTCTGTAGCTCGTCCTAGCGCTCTCTCCGAGATCGTCTAGCTCTCTTCTATCTCGTCTCTCTCTCTCTATCTCTCTCTCTTCTCTCTCTCTCCTCATTCTTGAGGCACATGATTGTTCATCAGTCTAGCATGGCCATCTAGTGGTGAAAATGTGTTCTTGCTTTTTCTGCGGACCTCAAGCCACCACTTTGTGCTTGTACTGTTTACTAATGGGCGTGTTTGGAACCAATGGAAGACTTTGTAGTGTTTACTACTTTGGTTTACTACTCTGTACCTTCAGGCTCTGATCAGTCCCTACACCCAAACGAGGGCACTGCGTTCATCCACCTCTGGCCTGCTGGCTCCCCTACCTCTACGGAAGCATAGTTCCCGCTCAGCCCAGTCAAAACTGTTCGCTGCTCTGGCACCCCAATGGTGGAACAAGCTCCCTCACGACGCCAGGACAGCTGAGTCACTCACCACCTTCCGGAGACATTTGAAACCCCACCTCTTTAAGGAATACCTGGGATAGGATAAAGTAATCATTCTACCCCCCCCCCCCCCCCCCCTTTACTCTAACCCCCTCCCCCAAAGGAAAAAATATATATATTGTAAAGTGGTTATCCCACTGGTGAATGCACCTATTTGTAAGTCGCTCTGGATAAGAGCGTCTGCTAAATGACGTAAATGTAATGTAATGTAAATGTTATCAACTGCACAGCGCAAACAGAGAGGAAATCGGAGAAATAGGCATCATTGTGAGTGCAGCTGAGCGTTTGTTTGGGACTCATGGATTTTTCTGCAGAGGCATAACTAGGAATCCAGTCGATGAATGATCCGTCCTCACAGGCATTTGAGCCTGTGTAGGGATGTGATTTGAATATGACTGAAGGGATCGTTCAAATGTTCACAGATAACCAACCCCCGGACAGGACCAACCAGACAGGGCTAAGCAGGCA